TGGAGATAAAAATTCAAAATTTTTCCATGCTGTGTCTTCCGGCAAAAAGGCACGAAATCGTATCTCTGTGATTGAGGACTCTGAAGGTAACACGTTTTATGACAAGGAGAATATAGCGGCTCAGATTGCTAGTTACTATGGGAACCTCTTCAAGTCCTCTACCGTGCATTCATCTAGGGAGGAAATTGCAAACATCGTCAAAGAGGCGATTTCTCCATGTATTTCGCCTGAAACAAACTTAAGGATCACGGCAGTACCCACAAGCTCCGAGATAAGAGGCGCTCTCTTCTCAATCCACCCGGATAAGGCGCCAGGCCCAGATGGTTTCTCGGCATGCTTCTTCCAGTCGAATTGGGTTACTATTGGACCAGCTATCTGTAAGGAAATTCAGGACTTCTTTGCAAATGGAGTGATGAGAGACTCGACAAATCACACCTTCGTCAGGCTTATTCCAAAAATATCAGGAGCACAATTAGTTTCAGACTACAGGCCGATTTCCCTCTGCAATGTCACGTACAAAATAATATCCAAGATTCTCTCGCTTCGATTAAAACCAATCCTCCAGAGCATTATAGGCGAGACGCAATCAGCCTTCATCAAGGACCGAGCTATATCGGATAACGTCCTTATCACACACGAGCTACTACATTATTTAAAAACCTCGGAAGCAAAGAAGAATTGTTCGATGGCAGTTAAAACGGATATGAGCAAGGCCTATGACCGGATAGAGTGGGACTTTATTAGACTAGTATTTGAGCGTCTAGGCTTTGCCGATATCTGGATAGAGTGGGTCTTGACCTGTGTTTCCTCGGTCACTTACTCCTATCTGCTTGATGATTCTGCTCATGGTAATGTAGTACCATCACGAGGGATCCGCCAAGGAGATCCGTTGTCGCCTTACATTTTTATTTTGTGTGGAGAGGTTCTCTCCGGACTGTGTCGACAGGCGCATGCAAGTGGGCATATGACAGGATTGAGAGTGGCTACGGCAGCGCCTCGTATCAATCATCTACTATTCGCGGATGATACGATGTTCTTCCTAAATACTGATGCTGGAAGCTGTGCTACGCTGAGTAATATTCTGTCCAAGTATGAGAAGGCATCGGGGCAAATGATCAATACGACCAAATCCTCTATCTCCTTTTCTTCGAAAACCCCGCAGGAGACACGGCTACGTGTCCATACTCACCTCGGGATCGAAAAAGAAGGTGGAGTTGGTAAATATCTAGGACTGCCGGAACACTTTGGACGACGAAAAAGAGACCTCTTTACTAGTATTGTTGAGCGCATAAAGCAACGCGCAAACAGCTGGTCGACAAAACGCCTCACACAAGCCGGGAAGTTAGTCATGCTGAAATCTGTCCTCTCAGCCATTCCTACTTATGCGATGACATGCTTTCAGTTACCGGTCAGTCTTTGTAAGCGCATCCAATCTGCACTTACAAGGTTTTGGTGGGATTCATGTGAAGGGAAAAAAAAATGTGTTGGGTCTCATGGGACCGTCTCACAAAACCCAAAGACTTGGGGGGGTTAGGAATCCGGGACATTCAACTTTTTAACACAGCTCTCTTGGCAAAGCAAGCATGGCGGCTAGTCTCAAAACCAGAAGGCTTGCTAGCTCGTGTTCTCCTTGGTAAATACTGCAAAAAAGTCGGTTTCCTTAAAGTGGAGCTTCCTTCGGACTGTTCACATGGATGGAGAAGTATATTAGCAGGTAGAGACTTGCTGATAACAAAATTAGGGTCGGTGATTGGTAGTGGTGATACTATCAGTGTATGGAAGGATAATTGGCTGAGCACTGATGCTCCGTTAAGACCTTATGGACCTCCCCCGGAACATCTCCAAGACCTGGTGGTGGCGGACCTTCTGACTCGGGAGACCAAAGAGTGGAATATTGAAGCAATAGAGAAGGTCTTCCCACAGTTGGTTGATACCATTCTTCTTCTTAAACCCAGCTTAACGGGTGGGGTAGATGGTATTGCCTGGTTGGGGTCCCGCTCAGGTGTATATTCCACACGTTCCGGGTATTTTACAGCAGTGGAGAATGAGCAAAGACACATCACGACTACGACCCCACCGGACTGGAAGAACCTCATTTGGACAGGACGTACATCTCCTAAGATTCGGCTTTTCTTATGGAAAATGACTCAGGGAGCTCTTCCAACTGGACAAAACCTGCAGATAAGAGGACTCTTACACCACGCTGCCTGTGTAAGATGCGGAGAACTGGAAACAGCCTCTCATATCCTTCTTCACTGTCCTTATGCTAAACAAGTGTGGTCTGCTCCCCTCTTTAAGATGGACTTTTCTCCTTCAAACAACATGGATTTGCTGGAAGCCTTAAAGGTTTGTAAGAAGGCGATCTGCCTCCCCCCATTGGGAATCCTTTCGGACCTATTTTCTTGGGTATGTTGGTATTTGTGGTGTGCACGAAATAAATTGATTTTTGAAGGAAGATATACCAATCCAGAGGATACAGTTTCGATGGCTCTTGGAGGAGCAAGAGAATGGTCCATGGCTCAACTGCCAACCCCTCCTCAGCCGCAACTTTTAAACAGACCAGTAATCATACCCAACCTGGATGGTTTAATTATCTGTTGTTCTGATGCAGCATGGAGTCAGGAAAAGTATGCGAGTGCCTTCGGGTGCATTTACTCGAACAAGCAAGGAATCGTCATCTTCAAAGCGTCTCGAGCGGAACGAAATGTCGCCTCACCACGGATAGCGGAAGCTTTGGCTCTACGATGGGCCCTCTTCACAGCCTCTTCTAGGGGTTTTTCAAAAATCTGTTTCAAAACAGATTGTCAATCGCTGCTAGCAGCTCTTTCCTCGACTGTACCTCCGGCTGACCTCTACGGGATCATCCAGGACATAGTCAATCTATCAAGTTCCTTCACTTATGTTTCATTTAAATTCCTGCCTAGACTTCAAAACTCAGCTGCAGATGTGCTTGCTAAAACTGCTCTATGTAATGCTACCTTTGTCAGCCCTAGTGACGGGGCTTGATCGTATCTAATCCACGTTTTGTGTTCAAAAAAAAAAAAAAAAAAACTTTTTTTTAGTATCATAAATTCAAAATTTAATATTACAAATTGACCATTTTCTAGCTTAAAACTCAGAATCACTTCTGCTTATTAAATTGACCCTAGCTTAAAGAGTCCACTACAATATATATATTTTTCCAATAATCTACACTTAGCCCGTTGTGGATCTGAATGATGACATTAGTACAAGCATGTATGATCTTCTGATTTTCAATTATGACAACATTCTTTTGCGAAGCTTGGTTTTGTTTATGTTTTAGAAGCACAAGGATAAAGGATTTGCATTACTCCACACACAGCTATGCAAGAGACACAACAACATCATTCTGTTGGAGGCTACAAGCAAAAGACGGACCTCTTCAACCATTTCTCCTTACACAAACTATGGTCTTTTTTTTTTTTTGGTCAAAATTTATGGTCAATTTAATCACTGAAAGTTGGGCTTCTAGTTAAAAGAACCTGTAAATCTCACTCAGTTATTTCAAGAATGGCCTTGTAAGATAAAAGAAATCTCTATAATATTATTTGAGAAGTCACTTTCTTATGTGTCGCCTTCACGTTAACTCTCATGCTGGTTGATTACTATGATATCCCTAATGAATTAAAATATACATTTAAATATTATTATTTCCTTTTAAATTTTTTCTAAATAACAATGTAAAATAAAAAGGAAACATTTATAAAGTTTACAAAACTATTTAAAAACGAAAATATAAGTATATATAAATATTGTTTCATAAAAAAGGAAAGTTGACAAAATAGTAATATTTAATTTAAATATATTTTAAATAACATAAAATATACTTTTGAAGTAATAAAATACTTTATATCAATATCTTCTTAGATGAAAAACAATATTTGTATATAATGTGATTCCATAAAAAAAAATTCACACAACTAATCTTGATATTAGAAAAAGAAATATTTTTTTGTTTTTAAAATAATAATTTTAAACAAAAAAAATATATTTTTTCAAAGTAATTATTTTTTTCTATATATCTATCTATTTTATTAGATAATTACATAAAATATTTAAGTAACATAAACTGATATAGGTCTAATTGAAAATTGTTTTTATAATTAGTATTCTTGAAATATATTTTTTATCTTTAGTATATTTATTTAACTATAATATCTTACAATTACAGAAAAAATACACATTCTATTTTACTTATATAATATAATTTCTCAAAAATAATAACATTTTTACTGCATATTTTAAGAGATATTTAAAACAAAACTAAAAATAAACTTTAATAATAAACATTTTTTTATCAAATAAAAATTATTTTAAAATATCATAACACTATATAATTTAACAAAAAAAAACGAAGTAGATATATTTTATTTTAGTATTTAAAATTATATATTTTCTTAATAACTCTTCTGATTTTTAATTTTATGTTCTTATGTATCTGGAATTTAATATAACCATAATCAAAATACTTAAGGAAATCAGAATCCTTATTTTTAAAATTATTTAAAATAAATTTCAGTTTACCATCCAAACAATCTAAATATTGTAAATACTGATATGTGTTCATAAGCTTTCAAATATTTATTAGTTAATTATGTATGTAATTTAGAATCAGGCAGTTTAGTTTTTATTTTGCTTTCTAAGCACAAAAAATCTTAAGTTATACATAATCTTACTAGATATACTTATATTTCTAAGATAACGACCCGCATAAATGCAAATAAGACAATTAATCAAAAATTTAATATATTTAGAATAAAAAAAATTATAATTGAATTCAGAGAAATAGATAGAATCTAATATATTGAAATGATAACTATGTAAATCAATCATAAAAACAATAAAACTGACGAAATATAACATATCTAAATTATATATATAATTAAATTAATATTATATTATTAATATACATTATACCTACAAATTATAAATAAATTTAAAATAAGTAAATATCAATCAATTATTATAATATATTTATTTTATAAATATTTATGTCCGTGCATAAGCACGGGAAAATCACCTAGTAAATAAATAGGAACAAAGTTGTTGTAAAAATCTCATAATACAAGAAAGACAAAAACAAGAGTAGAACAACTTAAGAATGTATATATACAAAATCTCAAACTCCAGCTAACTCCCTCGTGAGAAAAAGGCAAACCGGTTCAGTTTCTGGTTTAAAAAACTACCAAAGTGTATCCATCCATTATCCAACCTCAAAGGAGATACAGAACATTAATCAATCATCTTTAAACTCTTTAGTAGGACGTGCTTCAAACCCTCCATCTTCTCTTTTCTCAAGAGAGTAAGGCATGTAAGTTCCAAGAATCCGATCCCACATGACAAAGAAAGGCTGAGAGAAATTATACTTGCTTCCATAGAGCTGATGATGCACATCGTGGTAAGCCGAGTTATTCTTGAACACCATATGGAACAAGTTGCCAGGAAGGCAGAGACCGCAATGGTCGTCCACGGTCTTGATCGTGGCGAAGGAGAAGAAGAAGATGGACGTTCTTGGTGACATACCGGATATCAAGAACGACAAGGCGCCTCCTACTGTATCTAAGATAAGGCCTTCCACTGGGTGGTTGTATAAAGCTCCATATGCGTAAGGGACGATGAGACGGTGGTGTTGAGAGTGGATGTGTTTGTATAAGAACTTGTTGTGATGCATGTAACGGTGCATGAAGTATTGCCATGTGTCGAGGACTATCATGGCTACCACAAACTGTCTGGCTAGGACTAGAAGAGAAAACTCTTGTGCTTTGTCTGCTTCGTCATCACTTCCTGTGACCTGTATTAGACAATGAATAAGCAAATTTACAAAACGCTTTAAAGCTAAAAAACCGTTACAAATAGAAAAAAGAAGATACTCCATAGGCTTTATGAATCAATCTATAAGAGGCATGTCCAAGTAAAAACAATATTTATCAAAGACATGTCTAACAAATCAAACAGTAGTACTGTGACATTACACGCACTTAGGATAAGACAAAGAATGCCTGATGCTGCTTCATAGACTATAACCACATAATAACTCGTTTGAATCTCTATTCAAGTACAGTTTCTCATTAGATAAGTTGATAAGAGCCCAAACCGCGATCTTCCTTTATTCCTCAGAACTTAAGACAGACCAAAGCAGAGTAGTAGGGTCACTTCTAGAGAAATCTAAGCTCTCCCAAGGCCCCAAAGCAATTGCCAATCACTTAACGCTCTCCTCTTCAACCCCTATCTCTACTCATGCTTTCCTCTAAAGCCTATAACTATCTTTCTAACACAGAAATGATCAGTCTGATTCACTGCTCATGAAAGTTTGAGAGCTACTCAACTATTAAAAAGACAAAAAAGGATTCTACAATCTAGCTTTCAGATGAAAAGCCCCTCCCTTTCTTCTAGCTTCTTAGCTTTAGATTCATATACACACAAAAAACAGATCATCAATGCTACAAAACTAGAAAAGATTCACACTTTGCCTCTTTAATCCAATCCTAATCCCATTTCATTACTAATTTACACTAAACTTGAATTCACAAAGCCATAAAAAAGTAGAAAGGTGGAAACTTTTACAGTGAACAAGATGATAGCGACGACAGCTTGAACGAGCTGCTGAAGAAGAACACCTTTCACGACAGCTATCTTAGAGACGAGATTCTTCTCTTCTTCCTCCGCCTTTGAATGCAATCTGTAACTCTCCAGAGACGACAGCGCCACGTAGATCCCAGAGTAGAGCCAGTAAACAACAATCGGAGCTACGGTGCCGAGCAACTCATCGGAAACAGACAAACCTATCATCATCCTAAATCCCTAATCGCCGTTTTATCTCAGCTTCAGATCCTTCATCAACCCAAATAACGGGGAAATGATTGCAGGGGAAAAGATTCGAAGGAATCTTCGTTTGATTTTTTAAAATTTATGAGCGACAAAAACAAATTGCGTTTGCGTTTGCGTTGACAAATCAACGAAGGAAGAAAACACAAACGCGTTTTGTCGACGAGAAAACGTGGCTGAACTCTACTCCATTAAAGTAAAAATAAATATCTTAGTTATCACGTGTTACAAGATCTACAATGAGTTTGCTTACGTGGCGGATTTAAAGCCATTAAAACTTACGATGAGACTTCTGAGACGTTGGATTCTGTTAGAAATATGTCGTTGGCATGTTCGATACCGTATGCGATTGTTACTATGAGCGCAGTTGTCCGATACAGCATCGTATAAGTCCGAAGTTAGTTTGTTTGAAACTTCGAATGACAATGTTGAAGATTCAAAGCTTTCACAATTAATCTGATTTTCAGAATATTAAACTGTGTTCGTCATATTCACTATGCTGTATATAAGATATGGTGTGTTTTTGTTTATTTTGTGTTATAAACGAGATTAAATTATCCTATGATGATTACAAGAAACAGAACCAATGACAAAAAAAAACAAGATACAGAACAACAACTAATACTTAACCAATTCGACTCGTTTTATTCTTCATTTGCTGTTTTTAGCTCTGTATGGCTCCTATTAATTTTCCACACATGCCTTCATAAATCATTTTTTATTCAACATACACCTACCCCTACTAGCTACCAAATGAGTTAGTATGAATAGCTATCTCTCATACCAGTATTCCTATTACCAATACGAGTATAGTGATTAGATCAATCAACATTCAACATGACTATTCATTTGACAAATCTGCAAAGTGCACAAAAAATCCTCCATGACTCCATCTCAAATTTAGTTAGCACTAAAATGTACAGTTAGAAAACTCAAAAACACATATGTATATCAAAGTAGTTATTTTTTGTAAACTTACATCAAAGTAGTTTATAGTTTGAAAAAGTGAAATTTGACATTTTTCATACCAACCATTACAACCGTGGTCTTGGGTAACATTGCCACCATAGAACGTTAATATATACAACAATACATCTTCGGATTCAAACAAGATCCGTTCGTTATTAAGATACAAGAGTTATCCAAACTTCGGTTGAAAATGAACATATTGCTCTGCAGTGGACCATTCTGTTCACCAACGCCGATCTTTTGGGGCCATCCATAAATCCTTACCGCATCCCACCTGAAACAGAGAGATTGTGAGATTGTGGAGGGTGGACAATCCCATTAATTTTGACATGAACCAAAGGAATCCTGGTCTCGAAAGCATCCGGAGTAACATTATTGCTCCTCCACTCATGTTCCATGCAAGGCTAGCTGTTGGACTATTCACTTATGATGTTAATGATGAGGAATTGATCATGGATGATTTTTTTGAAGGACCTGTGTTCACCATCATGAGACTCACCATACGCAACCATCAAGAAGATTTCTTTGAACCCTACATAGCATTCGCTCACTATTTCTTTGATGCCCTACGCTCATTTAATGTCCACCAAAACCGACATTATCCATAATGAATAGAGTATGTAATACGTACAAATAATTCTGATATATAAAATTTAGGCATGGGCTTATAATTTAACACTAATTAGAAGTTAATGAATTGGTCATGATTTTTTCATTTTATTTTTCATACTAGTGTGAGATTTTGTTCACTACTACCTCCCTGATGCTCATTGATGAACATCTAAAATCTAAGAATCAGATGATTTTAATACTATAATAAATTTGAGTTTATCATTTACTTTTGGTTTAAAATCAATTAGTATTTTAAGTATATTGATCTTTACCTATATAATAACAAACAATTCTGAGCTAATAACTTATGAATTGTAAGAACTGAACTCATTTAAAGTAAAAAATAAATATCTTTGTTATCTCGTGTCACAGATCTACAAGGAGCTTGTTTATGTGGTGGATTTTAGAGCCATTAAAATTTACGATGGGACTCCTTTTAACGTTGGATTCTGTTAGAAATAATCTCGTTGGCATGTTGGATACCGTATGCGTTTCTTACTATGAACGCCATGTCCGCTAAACGGTGCCATATAAGTCCGAAGTTAGTTTGCAAATTTGAATAACAATGTTGAAGATTCAAAGCTTTCACAATTAATCAAATCTTGAGAATATTAAACTTGGTATTTGTCATATTCCGCCTGCTATACAATCTATGGTACCGTTTCATGTACGAATCTGAGAATGATGCGCGACATTACTTTACGTCACCTAAGTTACAAGTGTATACACGGTTCAACGACCAGACCACAATTTCGCATGGTTATGAAAAATGTTAAAGAAAGGAACTGAGCCTAGAGCCCCAAATGTAAACGAAAGGGAACCACGAAGCCTGTAGGCAAAACAACATTGTGGTATATATATTACTTGAGTGGCTTATAATTAGTTGTAGAAACAACATTGTGGGAGAAACAATCTACATGTCGTCGTCACTCCATTCAATGCCAATTAAGTTATATGGTAAGCGTTACATGTTGCTCAAGTAGTTAAGAGTTGCAGAGAATGGATTAGGATATTTGTACTTGTGGTGGGTTCTGAGACGACAAACTACAAAGAGAGTGGAAACTAGAAAATTCTTACAAAAAGTCTTAAAGACATAGCAATGTCACTACACTACTGCTTGGGAGTAATTGGTAGCAGAAACGACTTTAAATTCCACCTCAACATTCAACGCGTGTTCCTTGTTGTCCAAGTAATCCTTTCCAAGTTCAGCTAAAGACATAAACTTACTCCAACCCCAACCAAAGCCTTCATCTTCGTACCAGTTGTCCACTACAAGTAAACAAATACCTCAGTATTATCTAGCTAGTAGCAATAAAATAGAACAAAAAAAAATCATATAACTGTGTTTCAGAAGATACTGTGGCTTTCGATGTGATTGGATCCAAGTGGGTCTAGAACTCTAAAGATTGCTTGCACGAAAATCTTCTCATCTGTTTTTAGTGCATCACTAGCAGCTACTTCCAGAAATATAGATAACCATTTACCATCAGCTTCAGAGTCGCCCTTCGGATACAGCTTTAGAACCCTATACATAACATTAATTATTATTTACTTGTTAACATTCATACGCACCCGACACAATCTATATGTGTATAACTACATACTTTTCGTCCAATATTGTATATATACTCACCATTTCCTCCCTCCCATTGAAAAAATATCTGATGTCAAATTATTCTCTTTCAACTCAGAAAAATTCTTGAGAGCCCAAGAGAACTTAGGATGAGAGAGTTTCTCATTAAAAGAGTGGATTTCCCAATTGGTAAGGGGTGGAGCAACAATGACATCAACACCAAACTCACATTGACCTCCCTCGAAAACGTAGCCATTTTCAGGGTTATTGAATGTATCATACGGAAGAACTTGCCCCAACCCCCACACAGTTTTAAGGGCATTGAAACGCTTTACTTCTACATCTGAATATGTTAAAAGGTATTGTTGATTAAAACATATACATAGAGATGGAGAGAGTATGAGAAGTACGTTACCTTGAATAGTAAAGTACTTGTTTTCTTTCTTGTTATAGACATAGAAGCGAAGTTCGGCGAAAATTTCTGTTGGTGGTGTGAATACCATCAAGCTTTTGCTGTCTATTTCCACGTACATGGAAATAAATCCATTCCCTTTGTCCTTTTCGTTTCCTTTCGGGTATACGACCAGTCTCCTATTTTTATTTAAAAAATAACGAATATTATAACTTACAAAATAAGAAACTTTTTTTTTAAGAAACTGATGTATTGATGATAACTCTGATGATAACTCTGGTGGTAAATGATTAGCCGTTCAATACCATTTATATCCACCGGACGAGAATATGCGAGATTGGAATTTATGATCAGAGAAGGCAGTCGATTTCTCTAGTTGGGAGAAGCTTTGAATCTTGAGGGAATACGAAGCAGGAGGATGCTCTCTCCACTTCTCCATAACTGTAGAAACTGCTGAACGTGAACCCATTCTACTTGTGACCACGTCCAAGTCAAAATCTAATGCTGTATATATATATTGTAAACCCTAGTTGACTCGACTCTGACCCAACTGAGTCATTTGTACATAGGCTTGGGTTTGGGCTTGGGCTAGGTAAGAAAGGAGACGTGGCTGAGAGGAGTTACTCTTTACAAATCAGAGCTGCAAAAGGAATAAGAGAGGAGTTAGAGCACAATTATCGCTCGACGCTTAGCACCAAAAGTAAAGGGGGGGGCCGAAATAAAGAAAAACTCGACGCTTCTGTTGCCCCAATAAGCGTCGGCTTTTCATGTGTGCTTGAGCTGTTCTGCGGGCCCCACGACACATGGCGGCCCGCGATTGGTATTTTTTTTTTTTTTTTTTTTTTGGACATTAAGCACCCCTTTTTCTGT